CATAGCCTGTTTTGTAAATACAGAGGATTAACGAACATTATCCGATAACATCAGCCGATAAAAAGTGTTCGTAATCTGAATATGAATTTGTTGTCCAAACGTAAAAATCATCAGTTTTCATTGTCTAATTTGTTCCATAGTAAATATCTATTTAAAAACTTTAATTACAAACGAATCATCATTTAAAAAATAACGTAAACTTCAATATATATAGAAAATTTGTAATTTTATTATTACATCAATGTAATATAAATTAGAAACTTTAGAAATGAATCATAAAACTCTATTAAAACTAAATAATTTGTTGATTACACAACATTATTTAATATGTGACACATTTATTCACTTTTGAATGTTTCAAGTGCATGTGACATTATTTTTGTTCCACTGTTTCAAACCAAATGGAATGGTGGTATTCTATTAAGTTGGATGGATGTAAATGGAACAAAAATAACGTTTGCCAGCTGATGCATGAAACTAGTGTTCATTAAATTTGCGCACCAAAACTTTTCCTATGCATTCTACTTTTTTTTTCATATTGATCGATTTATGTAAAAATCTGTTTTCAATGCAATACAAATAGGAAATGTAATAGTCTGTTTTATATATAAACAAATTTCTTCTACATATTTTTCTCTAATGAAATAAATATGCAATGAATATTTGTGCAACAATAATATGCACTGAAAATGTATACAGTTGTACCTATTGGAATATAATAATATGAATAAATATAATATGAAATACTAATATTGATACAGTGAGACAATATTTATTCAGCATTAGAAAATAAAATAGGTGAATTCAACTATAAAATTATTAATTTTATTGGAAATAATAATCAATTATATATTATTACTCGCCTTGTTTTAATTTGCCTCTGATGCATATTCTGTGAGTAGGAAGTTAAGTAATTAACCTTGTTTCTCAAGTACTTGCACAAGTTACTTGTCAAGTTTTGTGTTAAATGTATTCGATTTTTATTTCTGATTTTAAAAACATATTCGTTTTTTTTTCTATTAATACAAGAAATATCTCTTTCGGATTAAAATAAGAAAACTGGAATCTGATGAAATCTGTAAACTGCATATTCTGTCAAGTAGGAAGTGAAGTCCTCTCAAGTACTTGTACAAGTTACTTGTCAAGTATTGTGTGATGAAAAATCGATTCATGTATTCGATTTTTATTTCTAACAGTAAAAACATATTCGTTTTTTTTTTCTATTAATACGACAAAAAATCTCTTTGGGATCTGGCCAATTAGATTCCGGCCAATAGAGTTATGAGTGGAGGGACTATTTGTTTTCAAACGTCGGGGATTCCTCAGCTTCCTTTTGCTTTTCATCCTTCTCCACTCGTATCCCTTTCGCGTTCCTCCTCTTGTTGTTCCTCTTCTTCTTCATCAACTTGTTCACCATCTTATTCTTCTTCTTTTTTTTCTCCACTCCTCTTTCTGCAGACCCTCTTCATTTTCCGGCCTTTTGTTGGGGGAGCGCCGGTCCTGGCCGTAACTTTTCTAGTGTCCTCCTCTCTGTCTTCCTCTCCTCCTTGCCCACTGTGAAAGAGTTTTGTTTCTCGACGGAATTTCTCTCTCTCACTTTCTATCTGTCTCACTCTCTCTCTGTTTGCGTCTGCAATACTTGTACTCTCTTCCTCTATCTCTCAATGCGCTCTCGGCACTCTTAGCCCCACGGCCCTTAAGCACCACTTACCCTTTTCACATATTAAATAATATATATTCTTGTACGTTGTGTTTACGGCCACTCCCAGTAAACGTTCCCTTCCTTACACATCTCTACAATTTGTTCCGCAGCATTCCTTTCCATTAATTACATAATAAATTGTTGTAGTACACAGATTCTTTTTTTTTGAGCGCAATAAAATTATTTTGAGGTCTTCTTTCTTAATATCATGATTTTTGTTTTCGTCCTTTGAATAAGGACAAGGTAAATTATGGTAAACAAAACGATATCATTGCATATACAATTTTTGAAGGAGAAAGTTATCATCAACAACAAAATGATATATCAATCAATCAAAGTCAAATATCAAGGAATATTTTTTTCTGCTAACAATGAAACTAATTGAAAACATCTTCATTGGTTAAAGCGCGATCCAGATTTTCCATCCAATTTCCTTTTTTTTATTTTTACAGCAATTTTGGTATCAATTGTACAATTAATTCCTTAAACGGGAATATTTATTGATTTGTGTAATAAATATGTTTAGAATTAGTTTTACGCTCTAATAATTTAAATTGTATTCAATTCGAAATGTTGGCGAATGGCTAGAATTCAAAGCATAATATAGTTATTGAAATCGTTTAAATATAATTAGTTGTATTGAAAAATTGTGGTGCGGATGTGAATAATTGTAATGGTTATGAGGTCGATTAAATTCTATTTCGCTGCGGGAATAACATTTATTTGGAATGGTACCGATATTCAGTTAATATATATTTCCGTGCGTTCCGCACAGACTTTACGAGGGATAATTGATAAATGTAATATTAGGGTTTACATTGATACAATTTGGTGTGGTTTATGGAATGCCCGTTCGCCCGTGCCCCAAATACACATTTCAAAATTTCCAATTAGCCATTCACCATTACGGATCGTCCAACCGTGAATTAGAAAAAGCTGTGATCCAAATGCACACATACGTTACACACTAACTGTTGGATATAGTATAAAATATAGGACAAACGTAGTAATAAATTCAATATTTATTGACTGAAATACTTAAAATAATAGTATTGATTTTATTATATTATTAAATATAATATTACATAATTATGTACGATATGAAACATAGATTTTTCATCTGTACAAACTTTTAATGTTATATTGTATTATTATATAATAGTTGATTAATTATTTTTTTTAGATAAATGATCGTTTTTTTTTTCAACTCAGTGTGCAGTTTATTTGTATGTGGTTTAAAAGCCCTCGATTAGTCCGGTTTCAAACAGTGTGAAATAGATTACCAGCACGGTGCGAAGTATAAACTATAACAATACTTTAGGAACTAACGTTGGAAGTATATAAATATTCTGAATTTTTAATTATTTACTTCTATAATTCATAGAGTATTCTCAACTACTGAAGTTTTCTTCTGTATTTAAGTTTCATAATCGTATAATAAATTCATAAAGGTGACTACATACTTCCCAACAATTTGTTAGTAAAAACCGCGTAGTGAATAATTCATTTACGTAAAACTTATCAAACAATTTTTAATTTTGCAATATAAACATATTACAAGTTTTAAGTGTTTATAAAAATTTACTTATATGTTTATATTATATTTTAATGAGTGATTTGATAATTTTTTGAAGGTATTTTCAATATCTATTATACATTTTTACACATGGATAATACTTAGTAATATGTATTTGAATCCAAGTAATGTATATTAATATTTACAGTTTTATACTGTAAAATTTATTAAAATTTGCTAAAAAGCTTCATAATGTAACCTTCAAATATAGAATACAGCAATACCTACCTTAATAGGGTTTTGATCAGATCCATTATAGTTCGGTTTGAAAATTTCAAAACAAATTAAGTTTTAATTTTAAGAAAAATAAATTCTAAAAAAACTAGTACACATTTTCTCATACATAAATGAGCGTTTTTACAACTTTATTTTGTGCTGTTTTAAAGTCCTCGATTAGTCCGCTTTCAAACAATTACCCGCACTACGCGAGGTATTGTTGTATATTGTTCTAAAAAATTAATTAATTAATCTCTTTTAACATCATGACTATAACCAAAATATGTAAAAAAAATCATTGTGAACATTTAATACATACATATTTTAATACAATCTGAAATTGATATAATTTCCAAATGTACAGAATTTATTATCACTACACACAAACTTAATAATTTTGATGTAATTCAAACTCTACACCTACGTGTTCAAGACTTCGCATTGCGTGCATTGAATAATGCGCGACGATAAATTAAGGATATCCCAATCACTTGACACGCGCCACCCATAAATAATCCAATCTTATCTACTTAATTAAAAGTTAAAGGAAAGTTTAACGCGTTTGTTTGCAAAAAGTTTACGAACTGCGATTTTAACTAATACAGTATTGATTTTATATTATTATTACTAGATTGTAGTATTACTTTAGAAAGTGTTAAAGTTAAATAATTATTAAAAACAAATTAAATTGATAATATTGTTATTATTTAAATGAAATATAAATATTTTTTATTTCCAAAATTTAAATATTAATTAAAATACAAAGTATAAATTTCAATTATTGTTCAAATATTTGTAAACAAAAAAAAAATGCAAGAACAACCAATGATATATTCATATTTTAACTGCAATCTGCGGCTCCTGAGCCGCACGCAGTTTTTTTTTATGAGAAATTGCGGCTCTTAACTCTCACATCAGTAGCTCTGTTGGAAAACTAATTTCACTAGTCAAATGCGGCAAATACGTTCCCTATAAAGTTTTTTTTTAACAATTAGCATCTTAAAAATATCTTCTTCAAAAAGTTTGTCGATACCTGAATTTTATACAATGGACTTTTATTCATAGCACCGCATAGAGTTTTATTATAAAATAATTTATGGTTTGAAATTTAATGCACTAACGTTAATAATTATGTAATTAATGGATATCAAAAGTTTTTGAAATGTAAGAAAATTGGACGAAGTACGAATATTTAGGACAATGAAAGTAAATTTACAAAAATGTAATTACATCGAGAAAGAGATTTCCACAGAGGCCACGAACGTCGTTTATCTTGGTATTGGAAATTCAACTTCTCATCACATCGTTCTCTCTCTCTCTCTCTATTATATATATTTTTTCTATTCTGTCCTTTTTTCCATCCTTCATCGCGAAATCTCTCTCAATCGCTGTAATTCTGAGCAAGTAATCTGGAATCAATTCGACCGCAATTCCAAAACCTTCTACCTCATCCACCCACTACTGTATATGCGTCTTCGTTCTTTCATTATTTGGTTGTTGTTGTAGATTTCGGATGACGATCGCATGTCGCTGACAACCGCCGTTTCTGATGAGGATGACGGCGAGAGCGTCATGAATTCCCCGTACAAGGCTAAGCAGACGGGAACAGCTGCAGCTTCCTTCAATTGCACAGGAGCAGTCAGGAAAGCTGGGTAAGTCCATCTAAACTATCTTCATTATTTCATTACAGTGTCTTTTCATGAAAGAATCTTAAAAATAGAACAATGAAAAAAGTATTGAATAATGAAATTAAATTGAAGGAAAAAAAAAATAAACGGAATTTAATGAACGAAATTGCATGTTAAAAAGCGTCTAGCGATCATTAATAACCGGCTTGATTAAAACTCGAACGGTGCGAATGAATAGTGAACTCTTCGATTCCTGAGTGGAAAAAGTTTGGTTTTATTAATAAGTTGGTCTTTTTTTAAATATAGATCTTAATGAACTTCGAAGGTAGTGAATCAATCAATGTTAAATACGGCTATCAAATATTTAACAGTAATAATTAATCAATTATGAAACATACCAGTAAAACTAGTTATTTTTATAAAATATACTCTTTGCAATTAGTTATAATAATACTTATTTTATATAATAGCCAGTGTAAAGTGCGATTATAATGAAAAGAAGTTACAATTTCATATATATTAGGGTGTCCCAAAAAGAAATGACATAAAATTTAAAAAATTTGCCGCCATTTTTTTCCGGTAAAACCAGAGTTGAGATTTTTATATGGTGTGTAACACGATAACACTCGTGTACATAAAAAATACAAGATATA